TTTTAACTTTTAAGTGCCTTTTAACTTCAGTTCTTTCTTTTCTTTCTTCTTATTTTACTAACTCTGAAGTTTTGTCTCTTTCAGACGTCTTCTGACTTGCCATCTCCGTCTCCTCAAACTAAAGTAGTCATGAGGAAAGTTAGAGTTATTACCAAACGAGTTGAGTCCGACGGCGCTGTGAAAGAAACCTTTGAAGACAGAGAGGAACCAGAGGTTCTAACATTAGAAGAATACTCCCAAGAACAATTTAGGCGTGCTCGCAAAATTATTACAATTTTAATTCACCGGGACGGTGGGGAAGATGTAACTGAGGAATTTGTAGATGAAAGCGCTGACGGCGATGGTAAACCGTCTGCATTTGGCCGCCTGATTAAGAAAACTAAGAAGATTCTGACGAAAGCTTTGAGCAGCGAAGGAGAACCTAATCGACACCCTGATATTACTTCGACTCATGTTGTGGTCCCACACCAATTAAAGAGCATTCGGCGTGTTGTGAAACGCGTTATTAACACCAATGGTGAAGAGCACGAGGTTGAGGAAGTGTTTGATGAGCCGTTAGAAGGAAGTGACGAAGAGAAACGTTTAGTACTCTCGCACCTTGTGAGCACGAAACCCCATCACAAGGTTACTGGCGATGACGGAACTAATCTGAATGTGCATGATGTTGAACATTTGGGCTCTGCCGTTTCTTACGTAATTATCGAAGAAACTGTTCCGTCTGTTACAACAGGACGAGTGTTCAAAACACGGAAGGTAATTAAAAAAGTCACTTCTCCTAATGGAAAGGAATCTGTCGAGGAGGAAAATGATGAGCCATTGGATGTTACTGATGAAGCAAAATCACTGTTGTGGGTGAGAAAAACAACTTACATTAATATTGACCCTGACGGCCGGCAACACGTCACAGAAGAAGTTGAAGAACCTGCAATCGGGGAAGAGTCCAGCGAAGTAATAGCTACAACTGTAACAACCACTCGAAAAACTATCCAGAAAGTTGTTAGTCCGGATGGAAAGGAACATATTTATGAGAAGACAGTAGAGGTTCCCGAGGTAGGAACTGTTTCTGCAACTCTTTTAACTCCGCTGAACGTAAGTAGCCTGCGGAACCTCAAAGGTGCCAGCACGTCTCCTGAGGTCATGTCTGAGCCGTCTCTTGATTTCATTTCACGTGAGAGGCAACATCACGACGAGTCTCAACAAAAGCCAAGTAGTGCAGACACTCAAACAACTTTTGTTAGACGTTTAGTAAAAACAATTCGCAAAGTCATTGGTCCGAATGGAAAAGAGACTATTACAGAAGAGTTGACGGAGGAACCCGTCCAGGTCCCCAAGGGCGAAAATGAATCGAAGTACAGAAGAAGTCGTGTGGTGACAATTGTGGTTGAGCCGAGTGGAAAGGAACACGTGACAGAACTATTTATTGATGAACCAGAGACTCCCTCTCCGATCGGGCATGCGTCGATTGCTACATCTCCAATGAGCCCTGCGCTAATTGAGAAAGACCCGAGGGGGTCAAAAATAGTCAATGTATCCCTTCAGCTTCAAGGCAAAACTAATGAAAAGGGTCCGACGCCGCAGATAAAGTCAACAGTGGTGATGGAGAAATCTACCACTCATCCAACCCTTGAACTAACTAAACAATGGAGCACAGTTGACATACCAAGCCCAGAGTTGCTTGAAACACTCATTCCCGTCGAAGAACTCAAATCACTCGATGACATCTCAGTTTCTTCGTCTTTGGTTGAGTCGACTGACATCATTGTACCAGAGGACACAGTTTCATCAGCTGCCTCGCCACTACCTACAGACGACGTCCTCCGAAAGGATTCACACACACCACTGTCAGAGTTGGACAGTAACACAAAAACATTCGAACACGGCTACGAGCCCGAGGACGCCACAACAATGGACGAGTTTTCACTCAGCGAAGACTTCACTAGGCGGGGAAGAAAGAAAACGAAGAAACGACAAAAGCTGCCTGTGAACTGGTCTGACTCTGAAACCAATGTGCCTCGGTCAAGCCCCGCGACCCCTTCAGCTGCCACTTGTGAATCAGACCCGGAAATCAAGCCGGCCGCAATGACTGCTATTGAAGCTTCAGTAGAATCTGTGAGAAGTTCGGCTCATACTATACCGTCGTCCTCTCCAGATGATATTGTCCGCGTTGTGGAGGAAAGTGTCATATCAAGTCCCTCAAGTGCAGAGGCAAGTGTTGGCCTTTCCGGTCATATTGCTAAGTCAATTCCAGTTCTTGAGCGGGTGCCGACCCAAGAAGGTGGGGCCCAAACATCTCAACCAGTAACTGCGCAAATAGCAACAGAAGACCTGTGTGTTCAAACTGTGCAGGAACCAACAATTGAGGAATCGGTGCAAACATCCCCACGTCAGCAAGATGTTCCTCAGAGCCCAGTCAAAAAAGACCCGGGTCTAGAAGAAGCATCGCAGACAAGCTCCCCCGAGCGTCCCAAACTGCTTTCAGCCCAGTCGCAGACCGTCAGCATGGAAACAAAGGATGATGGAATGCAGACCCTGTCTCCTGTCACTGAACCTCAAAGACCTACATCAGAGCTGTCGGTTCAGACAGAGACGACTAAGCAATCAGAAAGCAGTATGCAAACATCTAAGCCATCGAGTCCGAAACAAACGTCTGTTCAATCTGGTGAAGCCGGTGTTCAAACGCCATTGCCTGAAATTGACTCCCAGAGTGTGCAGACAGTAACACCTGGACCCTCGGTGGAATCTAGTGTTCAAACCTACTATGCAACAAACGAAGCAGGTCAACAAACCACGAGTCCGATTCAAATTATTCAGAAAGAAGTGGCAACATCTGTTGCGGGCATACAGACATCCCCAATTCCTCTTGCATCTGATGATGACCTTCTGTCGTCCTCTAGTTCAGATCAGCCGATTGAAGTTACAATTAAAACATCTGTCACAGTATGCCCAGGGCCAGATAATGTCTCTGTGAGTAGCGTTACCCTTGGAAAAGACGACCTGAGAGATTTAAAATCCAAAGCGAAGCGTGGGTCTAAGGATAAAAATGTTGAGCCAGACGTGAAAACTTTGACTCAAAACTTCATTGAAGGTGAGCGTCCTATTCAGTCGCTTGAGACACCCCAGCCAGTAACAGGCCCAGCTTCGGAAAATCGACTAAGCAAAACACTGAGACGTGTGAAAACAAGTTCTAACTATCCATCCAGACGGCCAAATGTTCTTTACCTAGTATCGGTTCAGGGTGATCAACCGCTTGACCCTGCCAAGGAAGAAGAACGAGTAAAACGACTCATTCGAGATTTGCCAAAGACCAAAAAGGGCGAAAAGGAGGAGGCCGCAATTTCAACCCTAGAAGGCGTAGCAACTTGGCTGCAGGCTATTGAATATCAAATTCTAATGTTGAGAGAAATTCACGCCAAGGAAGGCCCTTCTGTAGAGAGAGTTAAAGAGCTTGCAGCCTTAGAAGCCATGGCAAACCGAGCCACAAAAGCTGGAAGAGACGTAAACTCACATCTAGGCCCACAAAATCAACTCACCCCTTATGTGACGTCATTGATTGAACAAGGATCAGACGTAGGAGAGCTTGCAAAGGAGACGAGAAAACAACAAGAAGATGATCTCCACAGATGGAATGAATTTTTACACGACGTCGATGTAGTGCATGACCTAGTACTCGGTACAAGGGTGCAGTTGGAGGCTGTCGCTTCATCTGAAGCGCCAGCGAGGGAACTGATGGCCCGTATCGACCAGATCGACAGCGAAAATGCAACTCACGCATTAAGAGTGTCTCAACTGCTAAAAACCGCCCACGAACTCCTTCGAGACTTCCCTGGCCATGACCTTCCCCCAGAAATATACCCCCTTCAAGAGATCATCAGACAGAGCCGGCAAGACATTGGTGAAAACAGAGAGCGTCTCGAGCAAAGGATAGCCTTAGTAGGAGAATATGTTGCAACGCTAGGCGAACTTGAACAAATCACAGACGTTGCAGAGGCCCTCGTTTCTTCTCCAATTGCTGTGAAGGATCTTCAAAATCTCCAAGATGAGGCAAGTTTAAATCGCATGCCACGTATACTTCAAATGTGAGAATTACTTTCAAACGTTGAGTGTGGTCATAAGCAATCGTTCTGTTTCGTGTTTTCAGATGCAAAAGCACCGCAAGTTCTTCGTGAACCTGAGCCACTGCCGCGGCCTGCTGGAGTCCCTGGAGGGCTCGCTCGACCCGGAGACTCGCACCGCCCACGCGGCCCTCCACGGGCGCCTGCACGCGAGGGCCTCCGCCATCCTGGACGCGGCCTCGTCCCGCTCCCAGCAGATGGCGCTGGCCGCCAGCCGGTGGACGCTGCTGGACGCGGGCGTGCGCGAGGAGAAGAAGTGGCTCCAGGTGGCCCGGGAGAGACAGCCGGACCTGAGCTCGGTCACCTGCAACGACTTTGACCAGTACATCTCTCTTTACCAGGTAAAGTGTGCGCAGAGGTAGGCACGCCCTTCCGCCAAACGGAGCTACCGCCTCTACTTGGCTGCGCCGGCAGCTCCGTCCGGCTCGGGCCTGCGTCCTGACATTTCCCCGCAATGATTGCTTCCCTAGCCGACACCGGCAATGGCGCCTGCAACGCACAGGGTAGGCCAGCCCGCCCACCAGCTGTGTGGAGCCGGCGGCCTACCCTTTGCGCCTAGGTGCAAAAGGGGGGGGGGGGCTCGGAACGTGAGCGTTTGGCACTTTATGTTTCATATTTCCTTGCGTCTTCAGCGAGCCTTCAGCCCAGGGAACGTTTATTTTGGGGACGCCTTAACTGTCTCTGTGGGAAATACGCCATCGAAACTACTAGCTTTGTGCACTTACACCTTGTTCCTCTGCAGTCCCTACAGTCAGACGTGGCTCTGCACCACGCCCGAATACAACACCTGACCAACACGGCGCACCTGCTGCAAGCCATGGTGAGCTGCGCTGGCCTCGAAGAGACTTACGACGAGTACCTGGAGACGGTCCTGCGCCTGCGGGACAACGTCAACGACAACGTGCACCGTCTCGAGGCCTTCCGCGAGTCTTGGAGAGCTTACAAAGTTCTGATGGACCGCCTTGGTTGTTGGCTGTCGGAGGCTGAACTCGAGCTTGACGAAATGGAAAAGAAGACGCCGACGGAGAACATGCGGCGCTTCTGGGTAAGCAGGCAATATCCACCCAGCCCAGCCGTGTCTCTTAGATGCCCTATCGACGGCCACCTTATTCTCAACATCTCGTTTCGCTTCCAGGAACTTAAGGCCCAGGTCGAGCTGCACAGCCAGGTGCGGGCGGAGGCTAGCGCCCACCTAGAGACGGCCCTGCGCGTCATCCCCGTCTCGGACGAGATGCAGCGACGCGCCGCACACTCGGCGGTGGACGAGCGCTGGCGCAGGGTCGTGGCCCGGGCGGACGCCATGCAAGAGTCGCTCACATCCGAGCTCAGAGCGCAGGATGTGCCTGTCGCCAACAAGCTGCGACTCCTTGAGCGGGAGCTGATCGAGCTGGGCGCCGCACTCGACGACATGCACGGCGTCATCAAGACGCAAGAGGAGCTCAGCCTCTACGTCGAGCGCCTGCAGGTCAGTAAGATCACAGAAACGGCAACCTTAGCTTTAATATTGTGAGTTAAACTTTATTATATTTTTAAATGTTTTTACAATAGGTCATGAGACATCGCACGATCCACATTCAAGAAGACCTTAGCCGCCTGGGCTTGCTGCCCACGGCGGAGAGCGACCAGGTCGGCGCTCTGCTCGGCGGCGCGCGCGCCCTGGAGACGACGCTCTCCGAGGAGGCGGAGAACGCCGCGCTGCTGCTGGACAAGCTGCAGGCGCTCGACCGCGGCCTGGCCGCCGTGGCGCGCGAACACCGGCGCGACGAGGACGCGCTGCGCTGCTGCGAGGCCAGCGAGGGCGAGGACAGCCAGGTGGTGGAGCGGGCCGTGCTGGAGTGCGAGGCGGTGGGCCGCGACCTGCAGGACCAGTGGCAGGACCTCATGGCGCTGCGCCAGGTGCTGCACTCGCTGCCCATGAGCCTGCGCGTGTCGGTCTCCCCCGGACACCTGGAGCGGCGCATCTCGGCCAGCCAGGACGCGCACGCCGGCCTGGAGGCCAAGTGCCAGGCGCTGCTGGGCTTGCTCGGCACGCGCCTGCAGCTGTGGAAGACGTTCGAGGACCGCCTGGAGGCCGTGCAGTCGACGGTGCAGGAGGCCGACTACATGGTGGAGCTGCTCTCGGTCGGCACTTCGCTCGACCTGGACCGGCTGGTGACGGCCACCGAACGACTCGAGGTGAGTGCGCCCGTCACAGCGCCTAGCGCTCCGCGAGTAGGCAACCCATCGTACGGACACGCTGCTCGGGTGACGGGCAGCTCGGCGGCGCCGTCACGCGCTGACTCAACCGTGGTTGGACCTGACTCGACTTGACCTGAGTTGATCAATGAACACTAAACCACGCCCACACGACTAAAATATTTTCACTGGAGACCCCGTACAATCCTTAAATTGCTGCTTAAATGTCGGTTAAACCCGAGTTTGAAAATAATATCGTGTTC